CTAAAGGACCAGAATAGAACTCTAGGAAGAAATTATATAAGCAGAGTATTAGTTATGGTAGGGAACATAAAATTTAAAAAAAGTTTAGAGTTTAAAAAAAAAAATTTCTAGGCTTGAGAGGCAAAAGTAAGAAGATCTCTGTGAGTCTGAGGCCAGCCAGGGCAACATAGAGAAACACTGTCTCAAAGACAAAAAACAACAAAAAACAGACAGCTGGTGAGTGGGAGACACTTGATCCGGGATGTTGAGAACAAGGTAACTTGTGTCATTCTACTTCTATCAACTCTTGCAAACTAACAAAATATTCTTTCTTAAAGTTCTCATGTTTATGTTTTCAATACTAAAATCAAGTAGATGCTGGGCAGTGGTGGCGCACGCCTTTAATTCCAGCACTCGGGAGGCAGAGCCAGGTGGATCTCTGTGAGTTCAAGGCCAGCCTGGTCTATAGAGCGAGTTCCAGGACAGGCACCAAAACTACACAGAGAAACCCTGTCTCAAAATCGTCCCCTCCCCCCCCAAGAAAAAAACAAGTAGAAGAGGCCATGGTGTTATACTGGTGAGACAGTCATAAGAACCATTAATTCTATAAAGAAATCAATCCAAATCCACTTTGGCCATAAAAAAGCAAAGTCTCTAAACCAGCAGTTCTCAACCTGTGGGTTGCGACCCCTTTTTTGGTTTGCATTTCAGATATCCTGCATAGCAAATATTTACACTATAACTCCTAACAGCAGCAACATTATAGTTAGAAAGTAGCAATGAAAATGGTTGGGGGGGGGGTCACCACAACATGAGGAACTGTATTAAAGGGTCACAGTATTAGGAAGGTTGAGAACCACTGTTTAGTCTAAAGTCACAGCGTCTGAATCAAGTACATTTCAGATTACTGCCCATTATCAATCTCATTATAATTTTTAAGATCATTGATAATAAAATGAAAGGTCTTGCTTCATTCAAGTTTGAATCTGAAATCCCCACAGAAACATTATTTAAATGTTTATTCCCCATCTAGCAGCACCATTTTGGGGAGTTTGTGGAGTCATTACATGGTGAAAAGTCACGGGTTGAAGCAGATCACTAGAGGTGGGCATTTGCAGATTACATCCCGCCCTCATGTGGGTCACAATCTTTGCTTTTTGGTTTGCCTCTACCACACAGCCCATTGGGCATGAAGCCAAAACACATGAGCCCAAACAAACGTCTCTTCCCTTGAGTTGTTTCTCTTAGGCATCGTGGCCACATCGACACAAAACTAATACAGAAAACTGATACCGGAGAAGTGGGGTTGTTGTCTTGGCTAAATCTGACAAAGTCATTTTAAGTCTTTGAAACTGATTTAGGAAAGGAATGTGGAAAAACATGGAGCTTTAAGATAGAAAAGCCCTAGTCCTAGAATGCTGTAAGTAGAACATGATGAGCTATTTTGGAAGGAAGCTGGAAAACCAGACTGCTAATAAAAATGATGACGGTGAAGGCCAGGCTCGTATGTTCCAGGATCGAACAACAACCCTATGGAGAACTGGACTAGAGGCCATTTGTATTATCTATGTTGATCCAGGTTCTGAAAATTTGTGTGAGGCAGAATTAAAGGATTAATTACTTTGATGGAGGAAATTTCACGAGAACATAGCATTCAGGCTGTAGTCTGGTTATTGCTGGCTACATTTAGCCAAGTTTATATTGATAACTGGAAAGTAGAATAAAAAATGTTCAGTTTTGTCAGGAAAAGGACACATAGGTATGGACAAAAAGAATTTAATTGTTAAAGAGTTTAGCAACATTAAAAAGAAAATGGTAACTGGGCAATGGTGGCACATGCTTTTAATGCCAGCATTCGGAGACAGAGGCAGGCAGATGTCTGAGTTGAAGGCCAGCTTGACTTAAAAAATGAGTTCCAGGATAGCTAAGGAAACACAGAGAAACCCTGTCTGGGGGGGGGGGGGGAGAAAAAGAAAAAAAGAGAGAGAGAAGAAAAAGAAGATGGTCAATTTGCACTGGAATCGTAGGAAGGGTTCCTTGAAGACATTTTAGGCAGTCATGACAGCCTTCCCAGAGCAAGTTCCAGGGTGACATAAAACTTCAATTCATTTGAAAGATTGCATTAAAGACGAGGCCAGCCTGGGCTACCAAGTGAGCTCCAGGAAAGGCGCAAAGCTATACAGAGAAACCCTGTCTCAAAAAACCAAAAAAAAAAAAGACGGTATTAACCAAGCCAGGTGGTAGCGGTGGCGCACGCCTTTAATCCCAGCACTCGAGAGGCAGAGGCAGGCGGATCTCTATGAGTTCGAGGCCAGCCTGGTCTACAAAGCGAGTTCCAGGAAAGGTGCAAAGCTACACAGAGAAACCCTGTCTTGAAAAAACAAAATAAAAACCAACCAACCAACCAAACAACAAACAAACAAACAAACATAAAAGAGGGTATTAACCATAGTGTTAAACTCACAAAGAGCTAATTAGCAAAATGTTTTCCAAAGTTCAGCTGCTCAGGCACTAAGAAGTACTGCAGTTATAATCCAAGAGGGCTTGACTATTACTCCAAGTGGCTGCAGAACTTGACATGTATATGGTACTAGTTTTCCCTCCAAGATGTCTAATACTTACATTTGCAAACAGAGGCTCTGTCCATTATCCATATCAAGGAAGAACAGTATTCACAGTATGTAGGGATGCTATACTGGGTGGCCTTAAAGATGTGGCCATTGTGCTCTTCCACCTGAAGGAAGAGATTTCACTATTTATACTACAGCCAATGAAGTAAATGTTTTCCTGTTGGCAAATGAAAAATCCTCCAACCTCTTGTTAAGACTTCACTGGGTATTTACTCCAGGTAGAGAATTATGATCCTCCAGGAAATAATGAAAATAAAATATAGTTTGTCCCTTAGATATGTAGATATTATAAAAAACAAGCATGTGATGGCTATATTATGAGACTCTGAGGCACATGTTAAATTGAAAGCAGTATTTCTAAAATGTCCATTTCAGAAATGTTTTACATTATTGAAAATCAATCATGACCTCAAAAGGCTTTTGTTTTCATGAATTATACCTATTGCTATTTAGAAATTAAAACTGAAAATATAAGCACATTAAGTATTAACATAAATAATCATTTTTATGTTTTTCTTCCTAATCAACTTTTTGGTTACTATAAAAAGAAAATGGTTTCATTGTGACATTATCAATACATATTTACCTTTCTTGTTTGTTTGTTTGAGATGGCCTCACTATGTAGCTCTGGTTGGCCTATGTAGACCAGGCTGACCTTGAATTCACAGAGATCCACCTATCTCTGTCTCCCAACTGCTGGGATTAAAGGTCACTGACTCACTGGCAAATTTGTTCTTGTTTGCTCTCTTACTGTTATTGTGGGTTTCCTTCCCTGAAATAGTTCCCTGTTCTGCTTTCATGACATAAACATTACCCTCTTTTATTCCTCTCCCACTTTAGATTTCACTCTCACATTTCACTTTCTACTTTCATGTTGTATGTATATATTGAACATACATAAAATTTAAATCTATAAGCTACATGATATAAAACGTGACATTTGTTTTAGACTTGCTTATTTCACTTACTGTGACAGTTCCATACATATTACTACAAATGTCACAATTCCATTCTTTACAACCATTTAAAATTCCAATGTATATATGCAGCATTTTCTTTATCCATTAATCTGTTGATGAATATCTAACTGGTTTTATATCTTAAATATTTTGAATAGTGCTACAATAATCATGGCTGGGCAAGTAACTCTGTGGTATGCTAGCTGAGAATCTTTGAAGTACATACCTCAAAGAGGCACAGGTAGATTATATGGTAATTATTTTGAGGAACTACCATACTGATTTTCATTGTGGCTATACCAGTTTATATTTTCACTGGTAGCATACAAGTATTCCTCCTCTTCCCTCATATCCTCACTAATGACAGTGATTCTGACAGGGTGGAGTAGAATCTCAAAGCAGTTTTAATCTGTATTTCCATGATAGCTGAGGGTGTTGAACATTTTTCATGTATTAGCCTTTTGGTTTTTTTTTTCTTGAGAAAATTTTCAATTCAGTTGAATATGTCTTATTTTGGTATTTTTTATTCATTCATTCATTCTTTTTTTTTTTGAGACAGGGTTTCTCTGTGTAGCTTTGGTGCCTGTCCTGGATCTCATTCTGTAGACCAGGCTGGCCACAAACTCACGAAGATCTGCCTGCCTCTCTCTCCTGAGTGCTGGGATTAAAGACATGCGTCACTACCGCCAGGCGGTTTTTAATTTTTCAAGTAATTTACAGATTCTGTCAGACGTATAGTTGGTAGATACCCCCCCACACACACCTTTGTCTCTTCACTTGTTATGTTTTCTTTTGTTGTGAAGTAGCTTTTTAATTTTGTGCACCTCCATTTGTCAATTCTTGGTAATTTTTCCTATGTTGTAAGTCCTTGTCAGAATGTCCTTGCCTACACTTGTAATCTTGGAAGTTTTTTGCCAATGATTTCTTCTAGCAGCTTCAGACTTTCAGATTTTATATTAAGGTCTTTGATCCATTTTTAATTGATTTCTATACAAGGTGACATATCGATGTTGACATTCAGTTTTCTAAGTACCATTTGTTAAGAGGCTATATTTTTTTCCATTTTATGTTTTTTTTTGTTTTGCTTTGTTTTTTGTTTTTTCTAGACAGGGTTTCTCTGTGTAGCTTTGCACCTTTCCTGGAACTCGCTTTGTAGACCAGGCTGGCCTGGAACTCAGAGATCCGCCTGCCTCTGCCTCCCAAGTGCTGGGATTAAAGGCATGAGCCACCACTGCCCGGCCCATTTTATGTTTTTTGATGCCTTTATCAAATATTAAGTATCTATGTGTTTGTTTATGGGTCAGCTATTCTACTCCATTGACCTAACATACCTATTTTTGTATTGGAACCATGTTGTTTTGGTTATTATGGCTCTGTAGTGTAGTTTGAGTACAAGTATTGTGAGACCTCCAGCATTGTTCTCTCTTCTTAGGACTGCTCTGGCTTTCAGGATATTTTGTGCTTCCAACCAAATTTTAGAAACTACACTGAATCTGTAGATGGCTTTTGGTAAGTCTTAAATATTAACTCTGTCAAGCCATGAACATGGAGATCTTTTTCCCTGTTCTGGTATCTCTCTTCTTAATAAGGTCTTTTTTTGGGGGGAAGGGAGTTTGTTGTTCTTTTAAGCTATTATGACTGGGATTTTTTTTTTCTCAGCAAGTTCATTAGCGGTAATAATTATGTTAATTTTTTTTGCTTTTTTTTTTTTTTTTTTTTTGTTCCCCCGAGACAGGGTTTCTCTGTGTAGTTTCGGAGCCTGTCCCAGAACTCTCTTTGTAGACCAGGCTGGCCTCAAACTCACAGAGATCTGCATGCCTTTGCCTCCTGAGTGCTGAGATTAAAGGTGTGCACCACCACCACCACCACCACCACCACCACCACCACCACCACCACCACCACCACCACCACCACCACCACCACCACCACCACCACCACCCAGCTTATGCTAATTTTTATCCTGTCACATTGCATAAAGTGTTTATCACATGTAATAGGCTTTTGGTAGAGTCATTAGGGTTTTGTGAGTATAGAACCATGTTATTTGTAAATTGGGATAAACTGACTTCTGTTTTTATTTGTATTCCTTTTATTTTTGTTCCCTTGTCTTACTGCGCTCTGGCTACGATTTTGAATACTACATGGAATAAGAGTAGAGAATAGGCATGATTGTTCTGTTCCTGATTTTAGAGGAAATGCTTCCAGGTTTTTCTCTACTTAATATGATGTTGGCTCTGGATTTATCATATATTCCATTTATTATGTTGATGTATCTTCTATTTCCAGTTTCTTCGTGGCTTTTATCACGAAGGGATGTTGAACTTTGGCCAAGACCTTTTCTGTACCTATTGATATAATCATGTAATCTGGATCCTTAAATGTATTTATGAACTTTATTACATTTATTGATTTGCATATGTCAAACCATCCTTGTATCCCTGGAATGAAAGAAACTTGGTCATGGTACATGCATAATTTTTGTCTTAATTAGGGTTTCTATTGCTGTGACGAAACACCATGACCATGGCAACTCTTACAAAGAAAAAACTTAATTGGGGTGGCTCACTTACAGTTCAAAGGTTTAGTCCATTACATTATGGTGGGAAGTGAGGCAGCACACAGGCAGATATGGTGTGGGAGAAGTAGCTGAAAGTTCTACACCTTGACTCACAGGCAACAGGAAGTGATCTGTCTCACTGGACATGGCTTGAGCATATATGGGACCTCAAAGGCTGTCTCTACACTGACACACTTGTTCCAACAAGACCACACCTATTCCAACAAGGCCACACCTCCTAATAGTGCCACTCCCTTTGGGGGCCATTTTCTTTCAAACCACCCAGTCTTCTAAGTTCTTGAATTCTATTTGCAAATGTTTTATTGAGAGTTTTTGTGTCTGCGTTCATCAAGAACACTGACCTACAGTTTCCTTTATGGTGTATCATTATCTGGTTTTAGTGTCAGGGTAATGCTGGTTTCAAAGGTTTGGTGGAATTGAGCAGTGTGTCTATCTGCTCTTCAATTTTACTTTATTGGAAGACTGTTTCTTAAATTAGCTATAAAGCGGTAGCTTTCTCTCTCTCTCTCTCTCTCTCTCTCTCTCTCTCTCTATATATATATATATATATTTGTTTTCCTGCTGATTGCTGATTGTAACCAGTGTAACCAGTTTACATCTTTCCTGATGGCTAAGGATGTTGATGCTTTTAGAAATAGTTATTGCTCATTTGTATTTTTTCTTTTGAGAACTCTATGTTCAGTGCTTCAACACATTTTTTTTTTTTGACTGGGTTGTTTTTCTTGCTACACAGATCCTATCTGTCAATTGTTAATCTTAATTCCTCTGTCCACATGCTCACCATCTTGAAGTATTGTCTCAACTTATTTCTCTAGCAGTTTCAGGACTAATGCTAATGTCTTTGATTCATTTGGAGTTGATTTTTGTGCAGATTGAGAGGTGAGGATATAGTTTCATTCCTTTACATTCTTGCTAACTTTCTTAGCACCATTCTAATATATTAAGGTTATAACCCAATAAGGCAAACCAACTTAAAAATACTGAATAAATAATCCAACAATGAAATACAAATGACTAGCAGACATGTGAAAAGATGTTTAACATCAATGTAAATTAAAATCACAATACCACTACATACCCAAAAAGAATGGCTGCAATAAAAAAAGAAATACACAGTAACATAGGGTGCTCACAGTGTTGAGATTAGAACTCTCTCAGTACTGTAGGTGGCATTTCCTACTTGGAAAACAGGTTAGCAGATTCTGAAAATTTTAACTAGAATATTATGACCCAAAATTATATCTTCAAGATTATAGAAATCATAGCATACATTCATAAACCAACCCAAATGTCTATCAACTGGTGAATAAAATGTGAAGGAAAGGGTTAGGGCTATACTCAGTGGCAGAATAATTGCCTAGCATGCCAATTGTCTTCAGCACAACCCCCCACAAAGTGGTATGTCTACAAAGCAATTCTACCAAATACTCAATGTAGCTGACTACTGATAAAACAATATGGATGAATCCTAAGAATATCATATGCAAAAACCAGGAACTGTACAATTCCACTTCCATGAGGTGTTCAAAAACAGCTGAACTATAGAAATAGTAAACAAGTTGGAAAAGTTATTTACACCATTTCAAGGAAATATTCCAAACTTTCTTCCATTTTAGGAAACCACTACTGAAAGTAGGTGTTCTTGGGATTTCAGGTCCATTGTCATTCTAGCTTTTTAAAAGGCACGTGAGTACACCCTATGGATCTGGTAAACCTATTACTAAATCTATCCACAGGAATATAAGATCTGCTTCAAGCTACTGAGCCAGAAAGTATTATTTTTTATAATATACCAAGAGTGTAACTTACCAAATCAGTTTCTTTTTTCCTCCTTTTCTTTCTTTCTGTTTTAGGCACCTGGTGGGGGGGAGGGGAGCATAAATTGGGATTACAAAAGACTAACATACTCTCTTCTTTGTAAATTTTTGAATAGCTTCTACAAATAATAAACAGTTCTTTATCCTTCAAGAGCAATTGTAGAAAGCTAAACCAAACAGGAGAAAATATTTAAGTGCTAACAAAATCAGAAGAATGGAATAACTCTTTAGAGACTGATCTCTTTTTAAATAGCAGTTCTATCTAAATGCCACACTATTAGACATTTTAATCACTAGTCAAATGGTTAGCTATAAAGGTTTTGCCATTTACTATGGACATAAACATAAAAGGGGCCACATGGGAAAGCTCTGTAGACAGATGACCTCTCCTGATGACCACAGAACAGAAGTGCTTAAACCTATGCTTTAACAGCCATCAACTTGCAAAACAGCATATAAATCTAGTAAGAATCTTCTGTATAACATACAAGCCCAATATCCACAACACAAGGATTTCTAGAACCTGTTTATATCTAGATTACTTAAAATGACTTAAATTTTAATTCATAAGCTAAAATGAGTGAAAATAAAACAAAGCACAATTAACAGACTAATGATATTCCTGAACAAATAATTTACATTTTATAAAGAAATACACTGATAACCTTGATTAGACAGCTATCTCTTTATTTAAAACACACACACTCATACTTACTTTTCTGTTTAGATTTTAAATTAGAATCTCTCTATATAAGACAGGCTGTCTTTGACCACTCCATCCTCCTGTCTTAAGTCTCCAGAGTGATGGGATTACAAGCATGTGTCATCACCCTCAAAAAGTATATGGTCTCTTCCAGGCTGGCTTCAAACTCACTGTGTAACTAACGGTGACCATGAACTGATGATCCTTCTGCTTCTATTCCCAGAGTGCTGGAATTAGAGATGTGTACCTCTACACCTTGTTTTATATGGTACTGGAGCTCAGATCTGGGCTTTATGAATACTTGGCAAGCACTTTAGCAACTGAGCTACATTCCTGACTCCTACCCAACTATCTTCTCTTTTGTAACAAAGCTTACAAAGTATTTGAAAGCTTTAAAGCAAAATTTAATTAAAATATCAAACAGTACAATTTCCCAGCTCCTAACAGGACCGAAAAAGTAAAGGTTAATATTATTGATGTTTAGATTTCCCAAAAAACACATTTTTTCCTAAAAACAGTTTCAAGAGAGATCTGGTTTGTAGGTTCTTAGGTAAAAGCTAAGCGATACACATAATTCATTCCACCTTTAACCATATTCTTCAGAAGTCAATTCATATATTAATCTCCATTAAAGATGAAAGTATAATATTGAGGGCACACTATTATAATTGTGAAGGATATGTTCAATCAAACAAGTTCAGAAAAAAATATATGGCAAACTTACAACTGAGCTTGGAGGATCTAAAGTAATGATAGATTGTTATCTTCTTGTGATAGTTTGTTGAAATACATTGTTTTGCAGTTATTCATAGTCCAGTCTGCTGTTGAACTATGACTCTCCTGCCTCATACTCTTCAGTATTTGACTACTGGAATGTGCCACCGTGAACAGCATAATCAAAATACATTGCACAGATGTAGGAAAAGCATAATGAAACCTATCATTTTACACAAATAATATACACTTATTAAAAAATGTTTCCTAAAAAGATTCTTTACAAAGAACCCATAATTTAAGGGAAATCAAACTGTAATTCATTTACCTTTGAGGCTGTGCTATCCAGAGTCTTGAATTCATTCATGTATTCATCTAAAAACACCTTGAATGTGTTAACCCAAACTCTCACTGGAGATTCATTCCAATCACGTTGCTCAAGTCTCATGGTCTTTTCCAGAATCTGTTCAAACAGTGCATACAGGTCTTTATATCGTATGCTTTTCCCATCATCCATCTAATGAGAAAAAAAAAATTGTTAAGTTTTATGAAGACATTCTTTGAAGACTGATTCAACTTGTACTGGGGAACATAGGTTAAGATCTTGACATAGTTTATAATGAGCCAGAGTTTATAATGAGCCAGCTCAAGAGGTTTTGTAGTATTCATAAAAACCCACTATAGTATAAAATGTAGGCAGGATAAACCTAAGATTGAGTAAAAGACCTAACGGTTGAACTAATATAATAACTAAGCAAGTCCTAACAGTTGAAGTAACAAAATAATTAAGTCCTAAGAATTGCTCCTTTGAGTCTGACTTTATAGCTGATTAAAATTCCAAGCTATGCTGAACTATGAATATCTCCTAACATGGTCTTAGCTTACCGCCAATGCAGATGAGTAAGAGCTGAAGATATTCTGCCGAAATTCTTTCAGGGCTTTTTTAAATACAACATCCACTAATGTATCTTTCTTGCTGTCTTCATTATCTAGGTCGTTCATCTAGGGAACAACCACAGAAAAATTAACAATTAAATTATCAAAAATATACATATACAACAGTTGAAATGTCGCTTAAACAATAACTATTCTAAAAGTACAAACCACTGGCCATCACAGAGCTTAAGAAAAGGACAGTACACGAGATCACATCTAAGGTCCCTTCTAACATGCTGGTTCTACAGTTCTGTTAACAGAACAACTACAAATGTGCAACAAGCTTCACCTTCACATGTGACAATTATGAAATCACAGTGGAGACTAAAACTTTAAATCCTGTCTGTGCATTTTCTATTATCTGAACTATCAATGCCTGAGTTATTGAAGAAGTTTTAACCCATCTTTTTACAACAGCATATCCTTTATAAACAAGCATTCTTAAGTCAAATCTGCGCAGGCTAACTAACTCAGCAAGCAAAGTGTACCTTTTTCAGAAGAAATTCATCCATACTTTTTAAATCACTGGCACTTGCTATGATTTGGACAGAGTCGTTTTGCCAATGCACAGAATCCAAAGCCACACTGCTGATTTTCACACCTCTCTTGCGCTTTGCCTTTGGAGAAGGCTCCTTATTCTCTTTGAACTCTTTTCGGCAACTCCCAGGCAGTTCTGGGCTCAAAGGAGGTGTTGGGTGATACTGAGTTAATTCTACAATTCAAAATAGGTTAAGTAAAAAGATATACTTAGTTTAAAAAAAATACTGAAAATCTTCATCCTTAGTGTTAAAAAACTTAGTTCCAAAGATGAGCAAGAAGAATATGCAACAAACTAGCATATTAAAATACTGTTCATCCAGTTATCACTTTGCTATACTTGTTTGAAGGAGCATCCAGTTATATCTACGTCTAACCACCCAACAAGGAGAATTTGATAATTACATTTTTATTGTAGTCTACATCCATGAACACATCAGCAATACTGTTTGTTGATAGTTAACAACTTGTTAGGGAATCAAGTAGCTTACCTGGCTTGCTTTTGCTCTAGTATCTTAAGTATTTAGTGTTTTCTTATATATACTCCTTATAACTGTCTAAATTTTCATATATTACAGAGAGAAGCACCACATTTTTGTATTTGTTTATACTAGGGAATAAAATTCTATGCAGCCCATTACAATTTAAAACCAGAACTAGATTAGACTTGCAAAGCCCTATCAGTAGCCTGAGGAGACTGTTGGCCTCTTCTCATTTCATATGTGAACCTCTCCCCAACATGTATGCTCCTTACTCTCAACAGTGGCTTATCCTAATTCCATCTAAAAGCTAATCTTGATAATGAAACAAAAAGTAACTCCCTATAAAATAAATGCCACTTCAGGCAGGAACTGGAAAAATTCAATCTCAATTGGGACACGAAACCAAAATAAACATACATATATAATACATATATATATATATATATATATATATAATGCTAAATATATATATGTAGATAGATATAGCTATAAACTGACTTCATTATAACTTACTAAGTAATTACTTCATTTTGCAAAGTATCTTAGAAATGAAAAAGAAAACAAAGGCTAGTCCAAGATTCATCATCATTGAAGTTGTTGTCCTTTACTGCTCTATACCACATATTATTGAAACTTCTTATACAAGTAGAGTATGCCTTGCTTTATTAAGGAAGCATTTACCAACACTAGTCCTATATCTCATTAAAATATCATTCCAACAGGACTGTCATTATGAAGAGGAAAGGCATAGAACACTTTCAGAATGAGTAACAGAAATTATGACGCTCCACCCTTTGTCCATTTTTACCATCTGAAAATGGATTAGCAGATGTCACATCTGAGCCAGCAGAGAGTGAGGAGACCTCTGACTGGGGAGCAGGTTTTACTCTAGTAATCTTCTTCTCTCCTTGTTTCCCTTTCGCCCAGAATCTCATCTTTGCTCTCTGGGGTCTGTTTTTAAAACAAAACAAAAAAAAGGGTAAAATGGAAATCAGATGTTCCAGTAATTTTTGTGTATCCTTTTAAGCTTTATATACTTTCATATGCAGTAATCTATTTTAACTTTGATATGTATTGGGCGGGGTTGGGGTGGAGAGTGGGAGGAGTGGGGGGAGGGGGTGTGTGTGTAACAAGGTATCAAACTCTTGGTTAGACACATGCTAGGTAACACTCTACTGCTGAGCCACACTCCCAACTCATCTTGAATATAAAATACAAAGCCCTGACAATTTCAGTCATTTGATAAAATAAAACAGTCTCAAACCAGTAGAACTAGGATTTCAGCTTTAGCTTCTTGAAGCCAAACTGCCATCTTTTCATTGCTAAATCTCACATGTAGCTAATAACAAAGAAAACACAAATAACTACTAACCACTCTAAAAAAGTTCCTTTATATTGTTAGCAATTTCTTTCTAATCTTTGTCCATAAGCATTTAATTTTTACTCACTGAAATTATGATTTCAATCAAGTTTTAAGTCTTTCCACTCACTAGCACATTATGAAAGTTTTAATGATAATATTTATATTGAGTTGTTTATTAAAAGCGTGCAGCTTTTCAAGACAGGGTTTCTGTGTAGCTCTGGCTGCCCTGGAATTCTCTCTGTACACCAGGTATACACCACCACACCCAAATGGATGGATGTCATTTTAAAATCTACTTACACTGTTACAATGGAAATACCTTTTGTTCGTTTTATAATGAAGTTTTTAAGTACAGCTCTAATTTTGTCCATTATGCTGTTGGGTCCTTGGTAGGGCTTCAGTTCTATGAAATTTGGCCCCAGTGACTTTTTTTTTTCCTTTTGTGAGGCAGTCTTACTGTGTTGTCCAGGGAGACCTCCAACTTTAAATCCTTTTCCTCCACCTCCTGAATGTTGTGATTACAAGTATGTGTCACCACATCCAACCCGAATTATTTTAGTAATAGTTTGCTCCTCTACATGTTTTCCTTCATATCGGGTAACTGATCTTTTAAACTGGTTCTAAAATTTCTTTATCTCAGCCATCTATTTTTCTTTTTGTACAACTGTCTGAGATATATTCACCTGTCTTCCTTCTCATTACTCTTACCGGTATTGGTGTATGCATGTGTGTGGTGCCAAGTGTTCTCAGTCATTCTCCAGCTTCCTGAAATGAAGTATCTCACTGAACTTGAAGTTTTCCAATCTGACTAACCTGGCTGGGCAGTAAGCTCAAGGGATTACCTGCCTCTTCCCCTACCACTGGTATACCAAGATTTTGATGTGGGTGCTGGTATCTGAACTCAGGTCCTCAGGCTTACTCAGCAAGCACTGTATCTAATAAGCTGTTGCCCATAACCCCATTATCATCATTTTAAATTTTCCAAAATTATTTTTATTATGAATGTTTCTCTTTAATATACTTTAGTTTCAGTTATATTTATTATGTAGTTGTTTCATTATTAATTGTATTTATTGGTTTTGAAATTTTCTACCTTCCTTCATGTTACATTTTTACTGGTTAGTTCTGGCTCCTTCCATATAGTGTTCTCTCAAATGTATGGTGATCACTAATATCTGATTATGATTAAGTGTTAAGTTTAAAGTGTTGCTTGGAAGCTCTAGTGTGCTCTAGCAGAGCTCCTAAACTCCTGTCTTCCTTATAGGTTATCTGGCTGGTCAATTTTGCAAGGAGAGCTGATCTTTCCTCAAGAGATGAACAAAGTCCCAAAGATTCTGTGAACCATCTGCTCAAAGAGTATGAGAAATGCTACAACTGAGCAAGGGAAAAAAGCTGAGGAATTTAAGCATTTAATGTGTAAAATTCATTTAAAAAAAACATAGGGGATAGGTTAATAAAGTACTTGTTGCACAAGCATGAGAACCTGGTTCAATCCCCAGAACTCATGGGTATGATAGGGCAGGCTTATAAGCTCTACGACTAGGGAGGTGGAGATAGGTTGATTCCTGAGGCTAGCTGCTGGCCAGTCAGCCTAGCCAAACCAGCAAGCCCAAGATCTCAGTAAGAAACCTATCACAAAAACACAGTGGCCTGCATCTGAATGAGGTTGATCTCTGGCCTCCACATACATACACCTGCATTCAAACACATAATCCTGTACATTCATACATATACATTCACATCTACACACACACACACACACACACACACACACACACACACACACACACACACACACACATCGAAAAAAATAAACCCAATACATGGCCCACAACTTAAAAATATTGGGCAAACTTGTCGGTTGGTGGTGACATACACCTTTAATCCCAGCACTCAGGAGAAAGAGGCAAGCAGATCTCTGAATTCAAGGCCAGGCTGGTCTATAGAGTGAGTTCCAGGAAATATATATTAGGTAAACTTAAATCTAGAGATCTTCTATTTTATCTTTTCCAGAAAATAAGTTTATTATTTTCTGCTAAGAATAGAGAGGGTTAGTTGGTCTACATGTGTCTTTCTCAGGTTTACCTACTTGGTTAGTATTCAGCTTTTTATCAACTATTAAGACATTTATGTGTTTGATTTTGTCTGTTTTGTTTTTATCATTTGTGGGTTTGGTTATTGGGGCAAATAAAATGAAAATTAAATTTATATATTTAACTACCTCTAATTATATGTCCTTTAGCCTATTGTATCTTCTTTTTTCTGGATTTAAGTCCCTTGTAAATCCTTCTACAGTCTATATAAAAAGTTGTCTATAATTAAAAAATAAAGATTAAAAAAAAACATACCTTGACATCTTCAGTCAGGGCTCAAATGCTTATATAGTATTTTAAAAGATATTCATTTAAAAATAAAAATCCCATGAACTCTCTTTGTGTGTGTGTGTGTGTGTGTGTGTATGTGTGTGTGTGTGTGTGTGTGTGTGTGTGTGTGTGTGTTTGGGTGTATGCACACAACTGTGCATGCTGATGACATCCCTATGTGTACCAGAGGCCAAAGGAGGATATCAGGTATCCAGCTCTACCACTTTCTGTCTTATTCCTTGAATTTGGAGCCTAAGCTAGAGACTATCAAGTCCCAGTGATGCTTTGGTCTCTGATCCCTCCACAGGGCCAGGTTACCACTGTGACCATGATCATCCCATATATATTGTGTATGAGTGTTTTAAAAGCCTGCCATTTATGTATGTGCACTACCAGAATGTCTAGTGTCCTTGGAGGTGAGAAGAGGGCACTGGATTCTCTGGAACTGAAGCAAAACAACTGTGAGCCACCTTGTGGGTACTGGGAACTGAAGACAGGTCCTTTGCAAAAGCAGTAAGTGCTCGTAACTGCTAAGCCATCTCTTCAGCCCAGACTTTCTTTGCGGGGTATGTATTTTAATTCAGGTCCTCATTCTTCCACAGCAGACTTGCTGCAGCTTCACCTTAGCTCCCCACAAGCACTCGTGAGAACAAAATTATTTTTTCAAAGTATTTCCCTAAACACTTACTGTAGAACATATTACAAGTTAAAAGCTGTAAGAGATCACTCTCATCCTATCTAATCTCTCGCCTTTTATAATATATTATTGTAAGTCATATAATGATTAAGAAATGTCCCCCAGGGGCTGGAGAGATGGCTCATCAGTTAAGAGCACTGACTGCACTTCCAGAGGACCCGGGTTCAATTCCCAGCACCCACATGGCAGCTAACAACTGTCTGTAACTCCAGTTCTGGGGGAATGTACATTAAATAAATTATTAAAAAAAAAGAAAGAAAGAAATTTCCCCAAAATCATACTGCTATTCACATAGGATAAAGCTCCGTGTATGTGTGTGTGTGTGTGTGTGTGTATGCATATATGTATATATATGAACTATTATATACCTAGCAATACTGTTACTCGAGTATTTCTTAAAAATTAAAACAAAAGCCTTTGGGCCAAAGCAGCCATCTTCCAGTACCTTGCCAAATGACAAACACAGAGGGAAAGAGGAACAGCATCTGCTATGTGTTCTTTAGGCCTTTAAGGAAACATGGAGGTGTTCTTTTGGTCACATACATGTGAATCTATAAAGGGTAATAATGTAGAAATAAAAGGAATAAGCACTGTTCAAAAGGGAATGCCTCACAAAGTTGCCATGGTAAACCAGGAAGAGTATATATCACCCAGCATGCCATGGACATCACTGTAAACAAGTAAGATAAGGACCAGATTCTTGCAAAGAGAGCTGATATGAGGATTGAGCCTATTAAACCCTTTAGGAGAAAGCTTCCTGAAACAGGTGAGGGGAAATGATCAGGGGAAAAAAAAAAAAAAAAAAAAAAAAGGAAGCCAACTGAAGCACCATCTGCTCTACCAAGAGAAGCACACTGTATGAGAACTAACAGAAAGGTTAGTTGAGGGAGCCTATGTCCTAGGAATTCATGGCTTAGTGTACAAAGAGAAACAAAAGACCTAGACTGTATAATACTTTTTCTTAAAAAGCAAATTGCTTCAATTTAAAAACTCAGTATATATATCATTAAATAAAATCATCAAAATTAATTACTCCTATTGTAGCAGAAATCTTAAAAGGTTTTATTAATAAAACAAACCCAGGAGCCAGATATTGGGGTGAACGCTGAAAGATCAGAGAAATAGAACCAGCCACTTCTAACCTCACCTCGCCAACTTCTCACCTGATCCTGTTTCCTCAAACTGGAAGCCTCGGTGTCCTCATCCAAATGGATGTCAGCTAAACTGCTGCTGGAAGCCTAAAAAAAGTTTAACCAGGATCTAGTTCCTGCTCCTCATGCCTTATATACCTTTCTGCTTCCTGCCATCACTTCCTGGGATTAAGGGCGTGTGTCAACATGCCTGGCTATTTCCAGTGTGGCTTTGAACTCACAGAGATCCACAGGGATCTCTGCTTTTGGAATGCTAGGATTAAAGGTGTGTGTGCCACCATTTTCTGGCCTCAGTATCTAGTGGCTGTTCTGTTCTCTGACCCTAGATAAGTTTATTAGAATGCACAATATACAGGGAAACACAATATCACCACACTCCTATTATTTCTTTATACACATCATACCTTATGTCCAAATCGGAAGACTTCTGTCTTACTGCCAATTTTGTAATCTCCCCTTGAGACATAGCCTTATGGAGCTTTGCTTGCTCATCAACTGAAGAAAATCGCTGTGATGTCTGTGGGAATTGTACATGGGAAAGACTTAAAATCAAGTAAACATATGACAGCATGACTGAACTACAACTCAGTAAACATCAGTTCACATTTATGGGCAATTTAGCAAGAATCTCATCTGGCAAACTAGGAAAATGATCAAGACCATTCAAAGACAAACTCAACACAACACTGAATATTATTTTATACACCTCTTTTTATTTGTACCTTAAGGTGGAGATCCTTTTTCAAGTTATAGATTATTGTTATAGCCATTCAAAGTTTAAAAAGCTAGGTCAGCCAGGTGGTGGTGGCACACACCTTTGATCCCAGGACTCAGGAGGCAGAGGCAGGCAGATCTCTGTGAGTTCGAGGCCAGCCTGGAGCGAGATCCAGGACAGCCAAAGCTATACAGAGAAACCCTGTCTCAAAAAAAAAAAAAAAAAAAAAGCTAAGCCACACAGAAGAAAAACCAAGGATCACCTATGTTCTAAATTATAAACAATTATGTTATTAAACAAGGACTTCAATTTCATTTAGCAATTAATGTACCCCTATAAGGACAATTTTGTTCTGAGAATTCTTGTTACTTATCAAGTAATTTTCTTGTATTTCATCTTGTAAAATATCCTTTAGCCTTTTGATATGCTTGACTATGGCACAGAAACAGAAAAATAACCAGAGTTGTTATAGACAGATGTCTGTGGCCAATACAGAGTGCATAATATCTGCATCTAAAACAAAAAAAACAGACTGACAACAGTTTTTAAGACGTGGTAAGAAACAAAAGAAGTAGGTAACTTATACCTGCCTCAGCTTACTGTCTCAAGGTATTTCTAGTTTCTGTGTTATGACACAGAGAGGGGGAACCCAGGTGAAACTTGCTAGACTCCTTTAGCTGAACATAGGAGGCTAAAAATTCATGGCAACCAAAGTAACTAGTGACCAAATAACAGAGATGCATAATAGAAGAAATCTGGAGATCTAGAAAAGATTCCCTTTGCGTATTTGAATTAGTACTAATCAATTCTTTTATATGTGAAAACAACCCAAGACCAAGGATAGAACCACCTGAAATGATCAAAGGTAAGGTTAGTAATGTCAGTGCCCAAAAGTCAGGAACTGAACTCTATGTTGCACAGGCCGCTAAGTACACAGATGAACTTGCCTCAGTAGTCAAGAATAATTACCCTCCAACTGAGTACTGTTTGGGTGTACTGATTTTGAAAGGGCTAAAAGAATCAACCTGTTTCAAGAACAAAGTTCTGGAAAATTACCAGAAAACCATAGCATACAGAATATTAATTGGGAGGGGAAAAAAAAAGATACTTCAACCAACCAGAAAAAATTCACAATTATAAAAAGAGAAATAAAAAAGAAGTAGGAATATGTGTGTAGGGAAAAATGGCTGGCCAAAGAAACAGTTTGGCTCAGAGATCAGAGCCATCTCTGGCCCTGACCAACTGACCAGTGAAACCAACCAATCACAGAGCAGGAAAGTAGCACCCTGGCCCTGCAGCCCAGAACCAGGGAAATACAGCCTGGGTTTGGGACCTGAGCCAGAGAAAGAAACACTTTATCCCCAAACACAGAACCAAGGAAATATACCCTGACTCTGAAACCAGTACCAAAGAAACACTCTTGATCCCTAGAATCAGAGCCAGTGAAAGAAATATGCCCTGGCCTTAGAATTAGTGTCAAAAAGCTAACAAAGGCCAGTGAAAGGAACACAGTTTGGCTCTGAAATCAGGGCCATCTCTGCCCCTAGCTCACAAAACTGACCAATCCCTGGTTGACTCTGTCCCTAAGCCATCCTATATAAACAGCCCTGCCTGGTCAGTTGGGGGCTTTCCTCTCCACTCTGGTAGAGGCAGCTACTCTCCTGGACTCCTCCTTCCTAAATAAATCTCTTTCTCAAAAGAGTTTTGGGTGTGAAGATCTTCATTCACTGGTGCAGAGAAGATCCTTGCTGAGACGCTTCATAGTGGACAGAGAGCAAGGGAGAGCTGAAAAAATAATACTGTTCTCCAGAACTGGAGGAGATTGCTACATTTCTGCAGAGGTTTCCCCTTTTGCAGAGTGAAGCAAAAGAAGTAACATCTTAGGCCAGAGAAGAAGCAGAGCCCTGGTAGGAAGCCCCCTCAAGTGGGGGCTGAGCAAAGCTCAGCTATAGCAACTCTCTAGGAGAGGGGCAGGACTGCTATATCCTGCAGGGAGACCATCCCCCACCACACCAGGCACAGCCTGACTCTCTGGAGCAGTCAGAATACCTTCCCCTCCCTGCTGAGCTGTCCTAGCAGCTCCAGGCCCGACTCTCCAAAGCAGGTGGAATACTTTCCCTTCCAGGGCTGAGCTGTCTCATCGCAGCTCTCAACAGCTCAAGGTGTCACCTGACTTCCCAAGTAGTCAGGATATCTTTCCGCAGAGTTGCAAAAACTCAAAATGTGATCCTTAACAAGAAGAAAAATTGCTCTTTCCTTTTGCGGCCATTGCTGGATCGCAGCTTCCAAAACGGAAGTTTAATCCCTTCATGACTTTTGACCAAAGTAAGAACCACAAATGGCATTGCAATGCACCTTCTCACATTTGGAGGAAGATCATGTTTTCCCCCTTTCCAATGAGGTG